GCTGGGTTTCCCCAGCCACTCTGGGCGGCTTCCAACAGAATATTAAAATACAATAACCTATTAAACATTAAAAGCTTCCCCAAATAGGGCTGCCTTCAGATGTCTTCTAAAAGTCTGGTAGTTGTTGTTCTCTTTGACATCTGGTGGGAGGGCGTTCCAGAGGGCAGGTGTCACTACCGAGAAGGCCCTCTGCCTGGTTCCCTGTAACTTGGCTTCTTGCAGAGGGAACAGCCAGAAGGCCCTCGATGCTGGATCTCAGTGTCTGGGCAGAACGATGGGGGTGGAGACGCTCCTTCAGGTATACTGGGAGTGAAGTCAAACAGCTGCATTAGCAGCACTGAAGTGACTTCCATGGGCTGCATGGCTGGGCAGTGTGTCTGGAGTTGCTGGGCTGCCCAGACAATAAGACCCCCCTCTTGCCCTCGCTGCTGAGGTTCAAAGGAAATCAGAGCAATATGTTTGGCACCAGCTTGGCTGCAGGAGCTGCCAGAAAGCACCACCCAACAATCTTAGGGACTCCCGATGTGTGTAGGGTTTACTCCTTTTTTTTTTTAATAAAAAAAATCCTTATTAATTTAAATTACACACTTATACAAAGACTTTACAAAGAATTTACAATCAAATACTACAAAAAGAAAATTAAAGAAAAAACAATTAAAAAAAAGAAAAGAAGAAAATACAGAAAAAAGAAAGAAGGAAAAGCAAATTTACGTACATAAAAAACCTTAATCTTCCTAATTAATACTTAATTAAACACTTAAATAAAAAAGACTTCTGACAAAACGAGTCTTCCAATCATTCTCATTGTACTGTTTATATTGTTGTCGCTTTTTCTGCACAGTTTTATATTCTTTAATGTTGTCCCCCTCTACTCCACAAACGGTATTTGTTGTGTTTACAAGTATCACTCAAGTTCTGCTAATATGATGTGATTGGTACAATATGATCTTATATAATCCTTAAATATTCTCAATTCTACAAATATTTTCTGGTTCAATACTCCTCTAACTCTTCCCGTCAGTGTAGGGTTTACTCCTTAGCCTTTTCTTCTCCTGAAGATATCCCACAAGGTAGGGGAGGTTTAGGGTCAGAGTTTTACTTCTAGATGGGCTACCTAACCAGGTTGACGAGCCCCATCTGCCACTCAGTTCCCTCTACAGCATCTTTAGAAACAGCCTTCTCTTGAAAATTGAACCCACTTTTAGTCTCATCCACTCAATCTGCCAGAGCCTGTCTGTGAAGCAGCACCAGTGAGGAGTTTAGTCTAGGATGCATTCCGAGAGGGCCAGATAGAGGGGGCTGGAGGGCCACTTTTGACCCTGGGAATGACCCCCCCCACTGCCTTAGAGCAATAATAATGAGAAAACAGAAAGATTACAATTTCTGTTTTAGGAAGCGATTCAGTACAGAGGCCAAGGGCATTGGAGAGTAGAAACTAGCAAAGAGGTAGAGAAATAGACAGGAACAGAAGAATAATCAATACTGAGTTGGTCTGTATAAGTTTGGAAAACAAGCATCTTAGAAAAAAAGACTGATAAAATAAATATGCATTCTTAAAAATGCAGGTTAGTCTACAGAAGTGGAGAATAGAGAAAGAGGAGAGAATGTGAAGATGGTATTTCAGGGAAATAATAAAATAAGTAAAACTAACAGCAACAATATCTGTGCCATCCAGGTGCTCCCAGCAGTATTTTCAACGAAGGGAAATAAATGAGTGAAAAGTAGACTCGGCTACGGAGGAGGATGAAGAGGAAAAAAGAGAGGTTCATTAAATGCAGTATAAAAAGAAATCAAGAAAGTATGGGAGTGTTAGAGAATTCAGCATACATAATATTCACTTTGAAGGTGCATTACTCTAGTCTATAAATAAATAAACAGAGGCAATCCATGAAGTGCCAAAAGCTGCAAGAAGCAGGCGGGATTCTTTGTCTTTTTGAAGCAACATTTGAGAAAAAGTTAGAATGCGTGCAAGATCTTGCAAAGCAAGTGAGTTCTACAGGCAGGGATGTGGAATCAGTGACTCTTCGGAAGTTGTTAGACTCTGTCTCCCATCAGTCCCAGCCTGCGCAGCCGGCGGTCAGGGAAGATGGGAGTTGTAGTCCAACAGATAACTAGAAGGCTCCTGGCTCCTCATCCCTGCTCCATCCCTGTACCAAATTGAACATTTGAAATTGTTTCACAATGGCTATAGGTTCTGCTGAAGATGGTATTAGAGTGGAAAGGAGAACGTCCAACAGTGAATTCATGTGAATTTTATAAAATTTATACAGTGCTTGACAGTAGAGAAAAATTCAAAGTGTTTTACTCAGACCCTGTCTTACAATTTTGTGTTGTGCGTTCCACTTCCTGAGTGGTGGTACCCAACTTCTTTTAGAGCAATGGTTCCTGTGTGAGGAGGTGGGATTAACTAAAGGGGGCACTAAGAGCAGTGGCATAGCGTGGGTTGCCAGTGCCCAGGGCAGCTTGGAGAGCAGGGTGGGAAGGAGGGAAGCGTACTGAGTATGCACATGCATCCAACTGCCTAAAGGCGTCCATGTCACCCAGGAGCAGGGGTTGGCAAGGTTTACCTTGCCTGGGCCAGTTCACTCCAGCGGAGATCCCTCTGTGGGCCGAATCACGCCCCCCCACGATTTCCAGTGTTTGTGTCTGCGCAGACACGATTTCCAGCGCCACGAAAGCGAGTCCCTGCGAGTCCCTGTGCCGATTTAGTGCAGCACGCGGAGACTCACCGAGTGGGTGGCTTATGGGCTGGTTAAATGACCCCCGTGGGCTGCTTGTGGTCCATGGGACTTAGGCTGCTGATCCCTGCCCAGGAGATAGCAGGTGCAGAGATAAGAAAAGAAGAGTTGTTCCATTGTTGGTAAAGGTCACCTCCTGGTTTGTATAGAGAAGCTGCTTTTAATACTACTACTACTATATTATTTATACCCCGCCCATCTGGCTGAGTTTCCCCAGCCACTCTGGGCGGCTCCCAATCGAGTGTTAAAAACAATACATATTAAATATTAAAAAATTCCCTAAACAGGGCTGCCTTCAGATGTCTTTTAAAGATAAGATAGCTGCTTATTTCCTTCACATCTGAGGGGAGAGTGTTCCAGAGGGCGGGCGCCACTACTGCAAAGGCCCTCTGTCTGGTTCCTTGTAACTTCACTTCTCGCAATGAGGGAACCGCCAGAAGGCCCTCGGCGCTGGATCTCAGTGTCCGGGCTGAACAATGGGGGTGGAGATGCTCCTTCAGGTATGCAGGACCGAGGCCAATAACAGAAGCACATTGAGACTGCACCGGGTGTTGAAATTTTGTGCCCCTAACAATTTTGCACCCAGGGCAACTGTTCATGTCGCCCCCTCCACACTATTCCTAAGAGGGAAGGGGGTGGTAGAGGGGTCACAGGAGTTGAACCCCTTCATCCCATAAACTCATGCCCTATGCCTCCTACCATTATTCAAAATAGCGGTTTGCACAACCCGCTGAGACAACAACACAATGAAATTCAAGACAGTAACAATTGGGTGCACATTGATTGAAAATCCAATTGAAACTATTCAGTTTAATTCATTCAACAAAACTGATGAACTTGATTCAGTGATACTAGCTGTTCAAAGTCTCATAGTCATTTACACCTTCAGTGCCCCCTGCCTCTTAGTGCCCCTTCCCAGGTAATTGCACTGCCCCACAGGGGGTGGTACGGCCCACTCTGAGAACCCTGCACTTAACAGATGTGCCTTATCATGCTGGTTTGGGGTCTAGACTATCCTGTTGCTTCTCTTGCCCCTTGCCTGTTAACAAAAGGGAGAAGGAGATTTCTGTTCCGGTAAGAACCCGAAGAGGGCACTATCGCGACGCACATTGTCGAAAGAGCGAGGATTTGCTAGCGCATATTGTTCTGGCTGGAAATATCCCAGAGAAACATACAGAAGTCAATATGATTCCAATGAAATAACACACTGCGTCTCCATTATGAAACCTCAAAAGAGAATATTGCAACTCACGTAGCTTCCATTTGTGCTGAAGGGCTTATTAATGAATAGCTAATCTCACCGAGTAGCTGCGTAAGTGTGCCGGCTCGGCCTCCGGAGAGACGGCCATCGGTTTAAATGCAAGTGGGGAATCTGGAGAAACGGTGGTGGCTTTTACACCCACTTTTACATTCAGTTCCATGGAGTATTTCTCTCCCGAGAAGACTGTTTGAATCGAAACCTGGGCTATATTTGCAGACGTGTTGTTTAGTCGTGTCCGACTCTTTGTGACCCCATGGACCAGAGCACGCCAGGCACTCCTGTTGTTTAGTCGTTTAGTCGTGTCCGACTCTTCGTGACCCCATGGACCAGAGCACGCCAGGCACTCGTGTCTTCCACTGCCTCCCCCAGTTTGGTCAAACTCATGCTGGTAGCTTCGAGAACACTGTCCAACCATCTCGTCCTCTGTCGTCACCTTCTCCTTGTGCCCTCCATCTTTCCCAACATCAGGGTCTTTTCCAGGGAGTCTTCTCTTCTCATGAGGTGGCCAAAGTATTGGAGCCTCAGCTTCAGGATCTGTCCTTCCAGTGAGCACTCAGGGCTGATTTCCTTCAGAATGGATCAGTTTGATCTTCTTGCAGTCCATGGAACTCTCAAGGGTCTCCTCCCGCACCTTAATTCAAAAGCATCAATTATTTGGCGATCAGCCTTCTTTATGGTCCAGCTCTCACTTCCATACATCACTACTGGAAAACCATAGCTTTAACTATACGGACCTTTGTCGGCAAGGTGATGTCTCTGCTTTTTAAGGTGCTGTCTAGGTTTGTTTGCAGATATTTGCAGATACATACCGTGTTTTGATTTGTATGCTAGTCCTCCCATCCAAACAACACATCTGCAAGTATTTTTTTTTTTTTTGCTTCCAAATTCCAAGTTTTCAAAAGTTTCTGCTCCTGTTGTGAAGATCAGTCATAGAATCATATAGTTGGAAGGAAACATGAGGATCATCTAGTCCAACCTCCTGCAATGCAGGAATACACAGCTGTCCCTTATGGGACTCGAACCTGCAACCTTGGCATTATCGGCACCATGCTCTAACCAACTGAGCTGTCCAGTAACATAGGTAGGAACACTGGAAGCTGCCTCATACTGAGTCACACTATTGGTCCATCTAGCTCAGTAATGTCTGCACTGACTGGTAGCAGTCAGAGGGATCCTCTAACCCAGCGGTTCTCAACCTGTGGGTCCCCAGATGTTGGACTACAACTCCCATCATTCCTAGCTAGCAAGGCCAGAGCTCAGGGATGATGGGAGTTGTAGTCCAAAAACATCTGGGGACCCACAGGTTGAGAACCGCTGCTAACCTGAAGATGCCGGGCATTGAACTTTTGGCATGCAAAGCTGATGTTCTGCCACTGAGCTAAGACCCTTCCATAAGGTTTTGGGTTAATTGGGTTCTGGAATTGTAGCCATGGGAGAGGTGGTGGTGCTGCAGAAGGGAGCACAACTCTGGGATATTTTGTAGAGGAGGAATCACAGAATCAGAGCATTCACAGTGCTGGTTTTGACTTATGAAGACTTAAATGACTCAGGGTCACAATATTTCAAGGACCACCTCTCTCCATATGAACTGACCCCCCCCCTGCGATCATCTTCTGAGGCCCTTCTTTGTGTGCCTCCTCCTCGAGAGATCTGGAGGGTGGCAACACGAGAACGCAGTGGTTTCCCATTAGTGGAATCCTCTCCCAGGGGAAGCTCACTATTCACCTTTAGGCACCAGACAAAAATGTTCCTCTTTAACCAGGCCTTTGGCTGATTAACATCCTTTGTCCTTTTAAATGTGTTTGTGTGTGGGGAGTAGTATTCATTTGTGCTTTTTTTGTTCTTGGCTTTATTATGTATTTTGTGTTTTTCTTTTGTTCTTTTGTTTTTTAATGTTGTTTTGTTATTTTTATGCTGTGAATCACCCTGAGATCTACAGATGAAGGGCAGTATACAATTTTAATTAATAACAAATTTAATTTAATTTGTATCATGATCATCCTAACACAGGAGGTCCCACGTTCAGTCTCAGGCATCACCAGTAAGGACTGGGAGACACAGATTATTGAGACTTTACAGATCTTATAGCATAGCAGTGGCAGCAATTGGAACAAATGCTATCCAGCAGCAGTAGTAGCAGCAGAAACAACAACAACAGCAAAAAGCTTGTTTTTATCTACAGCTTAATAAGCGAGCATCACTCCGGCACTGAAATGCCTTTTATTTCTGGTAAATTGCTGCAAGGATTTCTCAATCTAGCATAGGACTAGTACACCCTGCACACGTATTTTCTGTTTGGTCAAGGCCGTCTTGTGCAACTGAGAAGGATAGTTATCTCAGGGTCATTATCCTGCTCTAATGACCTTTGCCTACAAAAACAGTTGCTGTATCCACAGGGTAATCGGGGAGGAGCTTGCTTCGGGTGGCTAGCCAGGGCTGTGGAGAAAGTCTCAGGTCTTGTTTGCACTATAATTATAATAACAATAACAATAACAATAACAATAACAATAACAATAACAATAATTTATTATTTGTACCCTGCCCATCTGGCTGGGTTTCCCCAGCCACTCTGGGCGGCTTCCACAAAGACCAAAAGTACACTAATATGTCATACATTAAAAACTTCCCTGAGGTACAGTGGTACTTCAGGTTAAGTACTTAATTCATTCTGGAGGTCCATTCTTAACCTGAAACTGTTCTTAACCTGAAGCACCACTTTAGCTAATGGGGCCTCCCGCTGCCGCTGCGCCGCCAGAGCACGATTTCTGTTCTCATCCTGAAGCAAAGTTCTTAACCCGAGGTACTATTTCTGGGTTAGTGGAGTCTGTAACCTGAAGCGTATGTAACCTGAAGCGTATGTAACCCGAGGTACCACTGTGCATTTTAAGCAGTACCATACCACTTTAAACAGTCGTGGCATCCCCCAAATAATCATGGGAGCTGCGTTGGCAGCACTGAAGTGATCTCCCTGGGACGCAAGCTTGGGCAGTGTGGATGGAGGTCCTGGGCTGCCCAGACGACAGGACCCCACTCTCGGCCTCGCTGACGTGGTCCAAATGAAAGGAAAACAATACATTTGGCACCAGCTTGGCTGCAGGAGTTGCCTCCCTGAGCTACAATTCTCAGAATTCTATGGGAAGTGGGATTGATTCTTAAACCACTCTGAGAATTCCAGACCCCCTAAGTATCCCTATTTTCCAGGGACGTCCCTGATTTAGAGAAGCCATCCTGGTTTATGATTTTATCCCAGAATGTCCTGCTTTTCCTTTGGACGTCCCTATTTTCATCGGAGGGTATTTAGTTATGCGACCCCCCCCCCCCGAGTCAAGCAGATAAGTAACTATACAAGCTTTAGAAGGCATTCAAAGGCAGCCCTGTGTAGGGAAGTTTTTAAAAGTTTAATTATGTTTTTATATAATTAATTTGGAAGCCACCTAGAGTGGCTGGGGCAAGCCAGTCAGATAAGTGAGGTATAAATAATAAAATTATTATGGAATAGGACATCCCTATTTTCCTCAGAGAAATGTTGGAGGGTATGGAGTTTTCCTTTCTTAAGCTGAAGAGTAATTTTTGTGAAGGTGATAATCTCTATTTAGGCTAGGGATGACCAATTTTACAATATTGTCATAGGCTTGGTGGCAGGACAGGAAAGGCTTAGGTGTGATGTTGTCTTCCAGCCTGTGGTTTTATATCTGTAAGATGGGCTTCTGCAGCTGAAGGGTATCCTTAAGTGCTCAAACCAATCCATTTATTGAGTTAATGGCTCTAGCCAATTTCGTTAAGTATCTCTTTGCATGACTGAAGAGCGCAGAAGCTACTAGCTAAAGATGCTTTGAGAAGGCAGGTCTTCCTTCACTTCCCTGGCAGGAAGTGAGGTCACTGGCGAACACACAAGAACAAAAGGCCAGAAGTCAGTCTTGTTTAGAGGTCGGGGCTGCAGAAGGGTGGAGGGGTGAGAAAAAGAAAGAAATCTCAGAACATTTCTCCAAAAAATATATGCTGATAAAATTTGGCTTAACTCTTAGCCACTTCTGCCTCACCATGTGCAAAAAGACCCTGCAAACCTTTCTTGATTTAACACAATAATGAGATGGGGGGCGGGGAGTGTGTGTATTTTGGGACATGACGACCTGGTCAAAAAGCAAATAATTTTGGTCCCCAGGCAAAATATGGCAAATTGAGCCATTGGAGCACACTATAGACACTGTGGGTTTATTTTACTTTGTGAAATGCCCTAAGCTCTTTGGATGCGGAGTGGTGTATAAATAATAATAATAATAATAATAATAATAATAATAATAATATGTTGTTGTTGTTGTTGTTTAGGCCTGGGACACAGCTTAGTCAAAGAGGGCTGCAGATGAAGAAGCTCCCGGAACTTTTACTGGCTTTGAAAACACATTTGGCTGCTTAACGTGGAGGCCTCTCCATTTATCACATCAAGAAAATCCAATTAGAGCGTTGATAAAAACAGAGCATCACTTCAACTGCCTTTCCAGAGCAATTGAAGCATTAATTACCATGTAATTTGTAGTCTTTAGGCTCAGGAAAATACTCTGAGGCTTAACGAGGGAGGGCATGAGAGCGATAAAGAGAACGCCTTCTGTCCCAGGAACGCATGAACAAATGTGTTTGCCAAATAACCAGAGAGGTGCACTTGCAACGACACAAGAAGCCTCTCCAAAGTAGAGGCAGACGATCTCCTCCTTTAACAAAGGAGATGCGTACAGCTGCCATCAGCCTCAGCAAGCATGTTTAATGACCAGGGATGATGGGAGTTGAAGTTCAGCAATATCTGGAGGGCCAAGTACAGTGGTACCTCGGGTTAAGAACTTAATTCGTTCTGGAGGTCCGTTCTTAACCTGAAACTGTTCTTAACCTGAGATACCACTTTAGCTAATGGGCCTCCCACTGCCATCAGGCCGCCGGAGCACAATTTCTGTTCTCATCCTGAAGCAAAGTTCTTAACCCGAGGTACTATTTCTGGGTTAGCGGAGTCTGTAACCTCAAGCATCTGCAACCTGAAGCGTCTGTAACCCGAGGTACCATTGTATTCCCTATCCCTGGCCTAGCTTGCCTAAATATCATGGGCCTAGCTGTGCTAATGCCGCCCTCATACTATATGGCAGGATAACTCTGCATTTTGAAATGCAGATGCAAAACAGTGCATGATATCTTTGTCTTACAACTGTGAGAGAAACAAAGGGAAAAGGGGAAAAAAAAAAAAAGGTAAAGGACGCCTGGACAGTTAAGTCCCGTCAAAGGCGACTATGGGGTTGTGGCGCTCATCTTGCAGGCTGAGGGAGCCAGCCTTTGCCCACAGACAGCTTTCCAGGTCATGTGGCCAGCAGGAGTAAACCGCTTCTGGTGCAACGGAACACCATGACGGAAACCACAACTCACGGAAAATAATAATAATAATAATATTAATAATTTACACCCCACCCATCTGGCTGGGTTTCCCCAGCCACTCTGGGCAGCTTCCAACAGAATATTAAAATACAGTAGTCTATTAAACATTAAAAGCTTCCCTAAACAGGGCTGCCTTCAGATGTCTTCTAAAAGTCTGGTAGTTGTTTTTCTCTTTGACATCTGGTAGGAGGGTGTTCCACAGGGCGGGTGGCACTACCGAGAAGGCTCTCTGCCTGGTTCCCTGTAACTTGGCTTCTCACAGTTAGGGAACCACCAGAAGGCCCTCTGCACTGGACTACTTACCTTCCAGCCACAGTATCTATTTATCTACTTGCACCAGCGTGCTTTCAAACTGGTAGTTTGGCAGGAGCTGGGACAGAGCAACGGAAGCTCACCCTGTCGTGGGGATTCGAACCGCCGGCCTTCTGATCGACAAACCCAAGAGGCTCAGTGGCTTAGACCACAGTACCATCCAAACCATAGGACAGAAGCAGAGCACACTGTTCCCATTCCCTAGACCGCAGGTGCAATCCCATGCATCCTTAAAAGGCTCTCATGTTGCCTGGCTGGTGGAAGCTGCTCTTTCATAGTCCGGTGGAAGACCTGATGCTTTGCCTGCAGAACGTTCCACCTGCAGAGTCTGTGAAGAGGTGAGCTGCATTCAAAGGGACCACAGGCCTCCTCTGACCCACAGACTGGGAGTTCCTCACCCCTGACCACCTCTGGAAGAAGGTCTAAGGAAGGTCCCCCATTGTAAGAGCCCAAGAGCCTTTGTCACGCAGAGCTATACTGATCTAGATGGACCAAAGTTTTGACTCAGAATATGGCAGCTTCATCTCTCCAGCCGGCTGTGAAAGTAACATTGCAGAATAATAATAGAAAAGAGGGACTCACACTGTGAACATAAGAAGAGCTCTGCTGAATCTGGCCAAAGGCAAATCTCACCCAGCATTGTGTTCTCACAGTGTCCAGTCAGATGCTTATGGGAAGCTGGCAGGCATGGCTATGACGTGAGGGCAGTAATGGTCTCCCTTCCTGCAGTTTCCAGCCACTGTATCTGACAGCGGAGGTAGAACTTATTTGTATTGTTTTGTTCCAATTTTAATATATGTGCTGCTGAAGCAAAGAAAGTATTCTAAGCAGACTCCGCAGCGTTTTTCTTTCTTTTGTTCCAAAACACATTTTTTAAAAAGTATGAATAGCTTCAATACTTAATCCTTCGGTGTGCATATTTAGCTCTTTATCATCTAATCCGCTCCCTGTGTTTTCCCTGTTCCTGTTGGTTAGCTACTTGCAACGTGAAAATGTCACCTTCGTTTGCCTTGGGGAGTTGTATTGTTCTATGGCTGAAAAGGTCTTAAGAGAAAGAGCTTGTCGGTGTCTGAACGCAGATCAAAAGGAGAGGGAACGCACAATATTCTCATGGCAAAGGTGGGTTCATCGTTTTGTGATTGGAATTCCACCAAATAATGCATTTGCCCTGGGAACTCCTAGAAATAAAATGTGCTTTTAGCAACTGAAGAAGGAGGCACAGCTCTGTGGTAGAGCATCTTTTGTCTTCAGAAGGTCCTAAATTCAATCCCTGGCATGTCCAGTTAGGGTTGGGAGAGACCCCTTGGATAGTCATTGCCTGTTACTGGGCTAGAGGGACCAAGGCATCTTATTATATTCCAAGGACTTCTATTCCTTGACTCAACGTCTGAGCTTGGCTCCGTGCTTGGGGAGAAGGTCCATGCAGAAGGTCCCAGGTTCAATCCCTGGCATCTCCAGGTAAGACTGGGAGAAACTTGAGCTTGAAACTCTGGAGAACCACGGACAGACACTGTAGATGATTCTGAGCAAGATGGACTCAGTATCAGAAATTTCTGAGGATATGCCTGGAGGTGCAGTGTGTTCTAACACAGGTGAGTGGTGAGGTGAAGGGCAAACAGGGGGGCAATTTTGCATCAACTGGCATATTGGGATAGGCCAACCAGAAAGTTCAAATGCTAGAAGGCTATATCTGAACAGTTGCTAGAAGGCTGCCTGTTTGGATAGCTCAGTTGGTTAGAGAGTGGTGCTGATGATGCCAAGGTTGCAGGTTTGATCCCTCTATGGGATAGCTGCATTGAATGGGGGTTGGACCAGATGATCATCAGGGTTTCTTACTGCAATTCTATGATTTATCTCTTGAATTCAAGGATTGTTGATATCCACTAGATCAGGGGTGGCCAACTCCCAAGAGACTGTGATCTGCTCACAGTTTAAAACTGGCTGTGATCTACCCCCTTTTTTGGGGTTCAGGTCAAAGTTGAGTTTTTTCAGGAAGGAAGTAAAATGCTGAGTTTTTTTTAGAGGAGCCATAGTTGTTCAGCTTCTTTGGGAGGAGCCAATGATCTACCTGTGATCTACCGCAGACGTCCAGTGATCTACTGGTAGATCACGATCTACCTGTTGGACATGCCTGCACTATTTTGATACCAATACTTATTCTGATTTTCTGAGCATATAAATAAATATTGGAGTTCAAGATGTCTTAGAGCAGCCTTGGCCAATGTTGGATCCTCCAGATAGCCATCTTAGATTTGATCATTTAAGATAGTATTGCATATTAAAAACAAATCAGGTATTGCAGGAGGGGTATTCTTTTACAAATGCAGCAAGGTTGGGGTCACATTTAGACTTCTTTCCTGGCTGAACTTTCTTTTAGAATTGCTCTCTAATCCAACATGAATTTTCTACTGGAATCTCACCCTTTTGCATGAAGCCTTCCACCCTCCCCTTTCCCTCTCCCACTACTTCTCATATTTAATTAATATTTTCCCTTTGTGTCAAAATGCTTTAAAAGAAATCCTTTTTCAGAACAGGTATTTACTGGGAAATATGGGTTGGGTAGAGGAACTGAGTGGGTGGCTGGCTTTGTAAATCAGGAGATAGTGAAAAAAAAAATCTCTTTGCTTAACTCTAGTTCTACAATTGAAATCTTTGCCACTTGTTAAATTCAATTCTATATTAGCAACAAAAAACAACAACAAAAAAATTATACCCACCAGTGAGCATAACTGGGGATTGTGTGCACGTAGAGGTTCAGGTTTCAGTGAAACAGCTTTGTTGAATTCTTTTTAGGATGAATTAGGAAACTGTTATTTCGTCTTTAGAGGGGATATCAAATTCAGACTTCTCCAACCTGGTGCCCTCAAGATATTGCTGAACGACAATTCCTATCAGCCTCAGCTGGCATGACAAATGGGCAAGGAAGATGGGAGTTGTTGTTCCAGACATTGGGTGGAATTTGATGTCATGCAGAGATGAATGTTCTGTCTGCACAAGCACATCAGCTTTCTGGATGGAGCTATCCTTCTCATGTGCTTTTCTGGGGGTTCTCTCGACTGCCCCAGAGCCAATTTGGGAGTGTGCAAGCTGCTTGGGGTGGGAGGAGAGTGAGCTAATTTAATCTGCTACGCTTGTGCAGATGGAACATTCATCTAGTGTGACGGTGAATTCCTCAGAGACAGGATTCGGGGTGTGTGTGTGTGTGTGTGTGTGTGTGTGTGTGAGCCCCATTGTACAAATGGAAGTATTTGCAAGGGAGTTCTGCTTATGGGTTTGATAGGTGAATCCCATATGAACATATAGAGGATGGTCATGTCTGCCTGGACTCTGGACATTTATATAATATGAGGATGAGGAACCGGTGGCCTTCCAGATGTTGCTGGAATTCAAATTCCAGAATCCATGGCCAAAACATTTCTCTGTAACCAGGACTCTAACTGTCTGTGGCTTATTAGAAGTGGGTGGAATGTTTTTACTCCTAACACTCTGCTTTAATGAATCTATGTGTGGTTTTTTTGTTTTGTTTTGTTTGTACGGCGCTTTAATTTGCCTTGGGCAAGATAAAGTGACTAACAAATTTAATAAACATTCGAAGCTAAATAATGATTGGTCTTGCTAGCCAGGGCTAATGGGAGTGAGCGTCAAATTTTATTCATTTCAATTATGAAGCCCCAT